GGGCAGCAGGTCCTGCACCTCCTCCCTGATCCCGCTGGAGGGATTAGGGGAGGGAGGGCAGGGGCTGGGAGCTGAGGGCTCTTAGAATCAGCCCAAGACCCTGCTGGTTGGGACTCTCCCAGTTTAACTCCCTCCCCTTTCAGTTGAGGAAACTGAGGTGAGTGGCAGAGTCAGTGCTTTGGTGCTCAAGCCCCTCGGTGATCTGACTTGGTTCTATTGCTCCAACCAGGCTACCAGCTTGTCCTTCCTAAGCTTTGCTCGTGCTGGGCACCCCCACCCTAGCCTAGCCCCACGAGAACAGGTGCATGGCCAGGCTGCCTCCTCCCCAAGGAAGCCAAGGCCTTGGGAAGTGCTCTCATCTGTGGGAGGCGAAGGGGACCCTTCTTTCCCAGGGTGGATATTGCAGGTGTTCACTCCCCATCCTGACTCTACCCTGCCTCCTCCTTTCTGGCCAATCCTTTCTCAGTAGTGAAACCACACCCTCAAAGGCTCAGACCTGTTCCATCCACCTCCTCCAGGAAGGGGAGTTTCTTCAAGCTGCCCTGGGCTCACCTTCACCCATGACCACAAAAGCCTTGGGGACTCCTGGCCCTCTGGTACCTCCAGCTTTCCTCCTAGGCTCTGTCTCCGCAGAGTCCTCCTGCCTGGGAGGCCCAGCGCAGGTGGCAGGCTGGGGAGGAGGGCAGAGAGGGACACAGCAGTCCTGCCTCCAGCCTACTGAGGGTGCAGTCCTGAGCCTCCAAACCTCTGTGCCTGTCCCCATCCCCCAGGGAGAGTCCCTGCCCACCACCCAGCTCCTGAGGAAGAAGGAGGGGAATTGGACAGACACTGCAGGTGAAGAAGTGGGCCCTGTGGGTAGGAAGGTGTCTGTGCTGGGCTGGGGTATCTTGGTGCACAGCAAAAGCAAAGGCATTCGGGGACTGAGAGGCCTGGAAGGGCTCCCTGCACTGCCGGATGACCTCTGCTCTGGTCAGCCACCAAGCCATCCTCACAAAAGGCAGGCAAACCTGGTGGGCACCAATCTGCCCCCCCCCAGCCTAGAATTTTCCCTCCTGCCAAGGGCATGTTGACTGTAAATAAGGGGCTGGCTGGCAGGGAAATGGCTGGAGGCAGTTCCAGGCCTGGGTTGCCCTGGCCAGAGAAAGAAAAGGAGGAGGAGGCAGTATGTGGGGTGAGATTGCACCCACAGGGTCTCTGGGAGGGCACATTTGGGGAGAAGGAAAGCAGAGCATGGTGGTCTGTGCTACACCCCACTCAGCACCTGGCAGATCTCCTGTGCCTGGGGGAGGGGCGCACCTGGGACTACTCGATAGTCACAGGCCACAGCTCGGGGCTTCCGGCCTGGGCTCTGGACCCAAGGGGGCCCTAGTCACTGCGCATTTCTGGGCTTGGCAGCTTTGGACCAGGGAGAATCTGGACCTCCGTTACTACCCCCACCCCGCCATGGGGCAGGGCCTGCAGGGCCTCCTTGAGAAACCTGACCCCACCCCATTCTCACCATTTCTCCTCGGCTGGAATGTGCTCCACCCTCAGCACCTGCCCCAGGCCTCAGGAGGTGCCCCACACCCCAGGGCTTGCTCCCCTGCTGCCTGGGCCTGCTGGCTCCATCTTAGCCCCAGCTGCCCTCAGTTCATTCCATCTCCTCTGCTGGCCTGGATAGCACCAGAAGCAGGGAGGTGGGGGGAGTGGCTGGGTCAGGCTCACTTCCCCTCACCCCATACACCCTGCTAGGAGCCCCTGGCTCTGCCTAGCTGTGGCTGGCCTGGCTGGTGGCCTGGCTGGTTTACTCCAGTGAGCTGAGCTGCCTGAGAATTCACCAACCCACAGAGAGTGACCTTGGACAAGGAGATGAGGGGGTCCCTTTAGTCCTCTGGACCTTGCCCCAGATCTGGATTTGGCCAACCCCTGCAGGACAGGCACACGAGCCACACACAGGGCCTCCCCACTCTAAAACTGCCAAGGAGACACCCCACCCCCATGAGCATGTCCTTGCCCCTGTGCCTGGACACTAGCCCTCAGCCCAACTGTCACACCCATTACCACACCCAGACATGTGATGCCGCCCAAACACACATGCTCTCCTGTGAGCACCCACACACATACATCACCCAAGCATACACACAAACTCACCCTTGCCCTGAGTGTACAAGCATGTACCCACACTGTCACACATTTCCTCACCCCAAGGCAGCCTAGGTTGGGGACCGCCATTCCTTCTCCTGCAGAGATGGCCCCTTATCCAGGTGGCCCCACTGCATTACTCCACTGGACAGAGCCCCCTAGGTCTCTCCAGGTCTCGGGTCCCCCTCTTTGTCTGAGGACCCAGCAGCCACCCCAGATCCCCACCCTGACCTTACCCATGGTGGGGGGAGGTCATACTCACTGACACGGGGGTGGGTGATATAGTTTCGGGTGACCGCCTGCATGTGCTCTCGGGCTGGGGCCAGGTCGCAGCCACTGCTGGGAAGCCCCCCAGGCCTGCTCTCTACCTTCATGGCCATGGCGCGGGTTAGGCTGGCAGACAAGTGCCTGAACCTACTGGTGGCAGCTGTAAGACTTTAGGTCCAGCTGGAGCTGGAGAGAGCTGCCCAGCCAGCCTCCGCAGCCACCTGCCCCTCCCCTCTCCTCCCACTTCCTTCTCTCCTCCCCTGGGTTGACTGTAAACAGGGAAGCCGGGTGCTCTAGCTGGGAAGCTTTGCCCTCACCCAGGCTGTGCAGATCTGGGAGAGGCCTAGCCAGCGGGGGGCTGGAGGGTGTGAGGGAGAAGGGCAGAGGGGAAGGCTGGCTTTCTCCAGCCTCAGTGCTTGGCTGCTCCTCTGCCCCAAGCCACCTCCCTGTGGAACTTCAAGTGTTCTCAACAGTCCCACCCCTGCCCCTCACCCATCTCTTCCTGGTCTCCTTCCCACACCCAATTTCTGGCAGGCTGTCCTCTCCTCACTGTCCCCCAACCTGCCCTCACCCTGCACCCCCTGCCCTGGCTATACCTGGGTATTCTTTCCCCGCACAATTCCATCATCATCTTTTTGAACATCTATAGAGAACTATTAGCTTCAGTGCCATCTCCTACAGGAAGCCTTTCCTGGATTCTCCAGTTCCTTGGATTCACCACATGTGGTCTCTTTCCTATGTCATGCCCTTTAGGGGAGGCTTCTCTTGTCCCTGCCACTGAGCTGTGAGCCCCCAAAAGCTGAGCCCGTGTCTCTTCCATCAGACCTGGGTCTCCTTAACCCTTTCTTTGTCATACTATTGAGAGCGTCCTGAGGACCAGGGCTGGTCTCCTTCCACCTGATCTTAGGACCCTGTCTCACCTTCTTACATTCACCTCCAGGAGCCCATAGAGCAGGCCTGGCCCAACCTTTTCAGCCCATGAGAGAAAGTACCAATGAAGGCCTGGGTATCATATATCAAAATATTTGGAGTTTTAAATCAAGCTATGTCCACAGCCTGGTCTGGGCTCCAACCAGGACCTCCCACTTCTTCCCAGGAACCCTCTTCGTGTCAGGTAGCTAAAAGACTTGTGCTTTCTCCTGGCCAGCAGACATGACTCGGGTCTGCTGGGCAAGGCAGGGTGGACGCTGGGTGGTGGCTGGACCTGCCCAACCCAAGATCTGCCCTAGTCACCCCCAGGCCTCATTCCAGACTCGAGATTTCCCACATTGCTAAGCTCCTCCCAAACCATGCTGCCCGAGCAGAGGGAAGGGCTGATGAGCAGTTGTCTAGGAATCCCTGTCCCCCAGCGCCCATTCTGGGTGACTCAGGGCAGCCAATTTGGAACCAAAGCAGCAGCTACTGTGTTTCCCAGAGCAGACTGGCGCAGACTGTGCTTGTCTTCTCTGCCCACACAGTCACAATCTCTCCCTGAATCCTCTGGCCTGAGGACCCATTTCATGTCTCTGGTCCCTGGCTCACAATTCCCATTCTTTCAGGGAACTCTCCTGTTGGGAGCAAGGGATGGGTGGCCCATAAAGGGGGAGCACGAGGGAGCTCTTTGTGGTGATGGGACAGTTCTGCATCTTGATGGTGGTGGTGTTCCACGAATCTACATGGATCATGAAATGGCAGGGAACTATGCACACGCAGCACCCATGCAATTTCCTGTTATTATACGACAGTTATGGAAGATGCAACCACAGGGGAAACTGGGTTGTGGATACTTGGAAGGCTAGGCATAGTGACTCACACCTGTGATTCCAGCACCTTGGGAAGCCAAGGCAGAAGGATCGCTTGAAGCCAGGAGTTCAAGACCAGCCTGAGCCACACAGTGAGGCCCTGTCACTACAAAAAGAAAAAAAAAGTCGGCCAGGTGTCTTGGTGCATACCTATAGTTTCAGCTACTCCAGAGGCTAAGGCTAGAGGATAACTTGAGCCCAGGAGTTTGACGTCGCAGTGAGCTATGATGACTCCACTGCACTCCAGCCTGGGCAACATTAGGAAGACACTATTTAAAAAACAACAATAACAACAACAACAAAAATGACGCACAGGGCTTTTCTGTCCTATCTTTGCAACTTTCTAGAAATTTAATTATTTCAAAATGAAAAGTTAAATAAAAGTGTCTTGAGCAAAAAAAAAATTTTTTTAAGGGTTTCATGTTGCAGTGTATATGATGGTAGGCCCTCTCTAAACATGTGGGGTCTTGCCTGGGTTTACCTTTGATGCCCTCTCTCCCTCTCTCTGGATCCTGGTCTCACCTTTCATTGTTCATCCTCTTCAAGGGTGACAATGTTTCCCCTCTTAAGTATTTTTATGTTTGAAAGAGGAGCTTGCAAATGGCAACACTTAATCGAAGAATGCATGTTGGTGCTTCGGACTGCCTCAGTGGGAGCCCTATGGAAGCGGAAGCCCAGAGCCTGCTGACCCACACCTGTGTGTGCCCCGACATCCAGAACCCAGTTTCTGCCCCCTCCCATTTGAGGTCCCCTGACTCCTGACCCATTTTCCCCCTAGTGACAAGAGGGTGGAAGGGATTCAGGGGCCAGTCGAGGTGCTGAGGGACTCTGTTTCCCTTCTTGTCATTGTTTTCCTTTTATTCAGTGAGACGCACACACACACACTGCACTCACACACGCTACTGCAGGACCAAGGCCATCTGGTCGCGAGTCTCTGAGCTGGGGCCAGTGGGGAGGGCGTGTGGCTGCCCCCCTCCTCTCCGGAGCCTGCTCTGTGCAGTCCACTGGGGCACAGGAGGCTGGGAAGGTGCTGTGCTTAGGACTCAGTGTCACGCGGGGCGGGAGTCTTAAGTGTTAGCCTTCTTGCCGCTGCCGGCGCTGCCTGCTTTCCGCTCTAGCCAGCCGTAGGGCTCGAAGGCCGAGGAGCCCAGTTCGTAACCGGCAGGCAGGTCCAGGAGCGGCGCTGAGGAAAAGCAGATGGCTGGCAGCGGGGGCGGCAGCGGGGAGGACGCTGAGGCCGAGGGCAGCGGGTGGAGGCGCGGGGAGGAGTCCCTGGGGTCACCTAAGGAGGTGCCCCTGTGGCCAGCAGCTAGGCCCGGCAGGCCGGGGGTCAGCGCCAGGAGGCTGGGGGCCCTGGGCACGGAGAGCAGCCGGCCCTGCTCCAGCAGCCGCAGAATGTTGGAGGTGGCGAAGGCCTCGGAGGCCGAGGAGGACGCCCGCTTCTCCAGGTCTCTGCTCTGGTCTTTCTTCTGCTTGGTGCGGCGGTTCTGGAACCAGACCTTCACCTTGGGGCAGGGGGCGGGGAGGGGGTGTCGAAAAGGAAGAGGGGACAGGCAAAGCAAAGTGGGGGCGGGGGGAGGAGGAGAGGAGAGGAAGGGTGTGGGGCCGGGCAGGGTGGTGGACAGGGTGGGAGTGGGGCGCAGGGTGGAATGAGAGGGAAAGAAGAGCAGAGAGTCATTAAGGTCTCCCCACAACCAGCTTGCTCTGGGCGAGCTGATTAGGGACCCTGGTCCCCCAGATTATGGCTGCCCCTCTGCTGCTAACGCTGACTCTGGCCTGGGATGGAGGAATGAGTTGACAGACACAGGATGGAGTTTGGGGCATATTTGAAGTCCCCTCTTGGCCCACACACCCTTTGTTCTCAGCCAAGTTCATGGCCTCAGCCGCCACATGAGTGCTGGAAACTCCCAACTCTACCTTGGCCCAGGGCTCTGGACTGAGATCCAGGCCACGGATCCCATGGACGTCTCTAAAACACCCCAAACCCCACATATATAGACCCATCTCTACTTCCCTAAACAGGGGCCTCTCTTCCATGATGGCCACCTCCATTCACCTGCACAGAAACTTGGGGGACCCCTAGAAGCCCCCCACCCCATTCCCCAGTACAGACCCTCCTTCCTTCCCTTGTCCTCTGACTGGGGCCATGGCAGCTGTCTCTGCAGCAGCACCTCTCAACCCTGGTGCCCACAAGAACCATCTAGGGAACTTTAAGCCCCTAACTCACCCCTAACCTCAGGCCAATCAACTCAAAATGGGGGTGACTGGGACCCAGCTTCTAGTTTTTAAAGCTCATCAGGTGATTCCAAGGTGAGGAAACCAGTGCTCTAAAGATCTTTCTGCTTCTGGTCCAAACTCATCTGCAGGGCTGGGGCAAGAATAGAAATGGAAGCCTCTGGCTTACAGCCCACCCTGGCTCTGACTGACACCCGTGTGGCCACCCCAGCCTGCTGATACTCTGCAAATAGCCCCCGATGGTTGCTTCTTGAGCCTAGAGCTCTGGTAATATCTGCGGGCTACCCTTGGGAGGACGGACTCAGGAGAGGCCCAGGCAGGTGCTGGAAGTGGCTCAGGGCCATTTGGTAGGGAATTCTGGAACCCTGGAAAACCTGAGAGGTGGTATAGAAGGTTGGCACAGGCTCCTGGCAGGCACAACCCCTCGGCTTTGCAGAATCCTTATCCCATAAAGAGGAGCATGGCCAGAGGAGGGCCAAAGCCGGGCTCTCTGAAGCACGGGGCTTAAGGGCAGGGCCAGGTGCCCAGTATTTAAAAAGTTCTCTGCCCCCCAGCACCACCTTGCCCCCCAATCCTGGGGTGGGGGTGGGGGGAGCAGGAGCCCGAGACAGAGCACACTCCCCTCCAGAGGCTGCACTGGGAGGTGGTGAGGAGTGGGCAGGGTCCTTCCAGCAGGGAGTCAAGGCTGCCCTGAGCAGGGAGGCAGGGCTGGGCTGGGGAGAAGATGAGATTTACACCAGATGTGAGTTCCGTGTTTTAAAGGAGATTGGGTTGAGTTTCAATACGAAAAGTGACCAGAGAGTTATGAGATCTACTGGAGGTTGATTACTTCATTCATTCATTCACTCAACAGATATGCATTGAGTGCTTCCTACGTGCCAGGTGCTGTTCCAGGCTTGGGGAATCAGCTGTGAACAAGGCAGAGCAAACCCTCACCACCTGGGGCAGACAGAGGGGCGGGGAGGTGGGGCTGGGCAACAAATAAAAGCCAATGTGTCATGCCTGTAATCCTAGCACTCTGGGAGGCCGAGGTGGGTGGATTGCTCGAGGTCAGGAGTTCGAAACCAGCCTGAGCAAGAGCGAGACCCCGTCTCTACTATAAATAGAGAAGAAATAATGGCGCAACTGATTATACTGTAAGAAAAGAATTAGCTGGCATTGAATGGCGCATGCCTGTAGTCCAAGCTCTGGGAGGCTGAGGCAGAAAGGGATTTGCGCTTTTTTTTTTGAGTTTTGTTTCCGCAGGAAGTTGAGGTTGCTGTGAGTAGGCTGACGTCACTGCACTCACTCTGGCCTGGGCAACAAAGCGAGACTCTGTCTCAAAAAAAAAAAAAAAAAATCCAGCCTGGGCAACATAAAAAGACCCCATCTCTAAAACATAAATAAATAAATAAAATGGGGGCCGGGCATGGTGGCTCACACTTGTAATCCTAGCACTCTGGGAGGCTGAGGTGGGAGGATCGCTCAAGGTCAGGAGCTCGAAACTAGCCTGAGCAAGAGTGGGACCCTGTCTCTACTAAAAATAGAAACAAATAAATTGGCCAACTAAAAATATATAGACAACATTAGCCAGGCATGGTGGTGCATACCAGTAGTCCCAGCTACTCGGGAAGCTGAGGCAGAAGGATTGCTTGAGCCCAGGAGTTTGAGGTTGCTATGAGCTAGGCTGATGCCAGGCACTCTAGCCCGGGCAACAGAGTCCGACTCTATCTCAAAAACAAATAAATAAATAAATAAATAAAATGGGAAAATAAAACCTGGCCATTGTGGAGATTAAGTAAGAAAATCCACCTACAGAGCTTGGCATCATGCCTGGCAACACGAAATGTGAGTTATTATTATTTATTATTCACTTTCTCTGTTCCTAGCTCTGAACTAGAGGGAGAGGAGACACAGATGTCATGGTTCCTCCTGTCCTCAGGAAGCTGAGGGTTTGGTGGGGAGTGCACTAACCCACTCCCAGAACACAGGGCAATTAGGTGCACAGGGAGTGACAGTAACAGGGATGAAGAGTGACAAAGCGTTTATAAGGTGTTCTCCCATTCATCCTGTATTCATGCAGCTCTGAAAGAGGTGCGTGTGGGCTGGCGCTGGGTTTGGGAGCATCCTGAGCAGGTGGGCCCTGGAACAGCGTGTGGGGAGAGGAGAAGTCAGAGGCAGACGGAGCAGGGGCTGGGACCTGGAGTGCTGGTTTGCTGGCCACATACAGGCTAGGCCAGGGATTCTCAATCCTGGCTGCACATTGGATTTACCAGGGCTGGTTCCCAGGCCCCATCCCACACCCATTAAGTCAGAATCTCTAGGGACAGGGCTGAGGCATCAGGACTTTTGTAACGCTCCGTAGATGATTCCAGTGTGCTCTCAGCATTGCAAACATCAGGGTGGGAGTGAGAAAGCCTACCTCTCTGCCTCCCACCATCAGTCCCATGGTCCCTAGGGGGTTGCTGCATAAGGTCCAGCACATGGGACAAACCAAAGGAGAGACAGACTCAGAGTCCTCTGAACTCGTTCCTCCTTCTCCAAGAAGGCTTTGGTTCCACCTCAGGGTTAAATCCAAAGTTACTCATCCTTTTCCTCTAGAAACCATTCCTAGCTGACCCCACAGGGTGGTGGGGCCAATGCACATTGTGGGGCGTCCACCTGCCCTTGTCTCCTTAGTGCTCTGTGTGGCCTCCCTGCAGGCTGCCATCTTTATACCCTGGAACTCAGTGGACACTTCACCCGTCACCCCTGATCTCTTGCTGGGCCACACTGCAGCCCATGGCTGCACACCAGGGCAGGGGCATGGTTTCCACGGGGCTGCCAGGACAAGAAAAGCGTCTTTTAAAGGCTGCTTCCTGTGACCATGGGCACATACTTAATCTGAGAGGAGGGGGACCTGTGTATCTAGGATGGCTCTGGCTTTTGTAACCTGCACTAGGAAGCTACCATGCATTCTGTCGTTCTAGAAGAAGCCATCTGGGGCAGAGGTGGACATGAGGCTGAAGACAATTACTGAATGGTTGGAGTGGTTCTTATCCAAGCTAAGTGGCACCCTGTCAGTACTTGGACATGGAAGTTTGTCCTCAGCTTGCGAACGTCCCACAGGCCAGCCACGGGAGGGGATCTCACCTTCCCTTCCTCTGCAGCCACAGCTCTTTCTTATGTCCTGCTCTGACCCTGGTACATTGGTCATCCATTCAGGCAACACACAAATATCAAGCATTTGACACATGCCAGGCATTGCCAGATGCTGAAAAAACAAAAACAAATAAAACCCCGTCTTGCAGCCTGTGGCTCTCAGACACCAGCAGTGGGGCGTGGGCCCGTTAGCAAGTGTTAGAATATGGTAAGTATTTTTAAAGAAGCAAACAATATAGTGGAGAAAACCTGAACTCAGACAACCCTGGTTTTGGCTCTGGTTCCTCTAACTAGCCAGATGACTTCGGGCAAGTTACTTCACTTCTCAGTTCCTCAGTTTCCCCATCAGTAAAATGGGGACATACTAATGCCTTTTCCTAAGGTTTGTTGTGATGACTCCGTGGGCTAACAATCATGGACTTAGTAAAGTGCCTGGCAGATACTGAAGTCTCTTAAGCAGCATGGTGATCACATCAGCTGGTCAGATTTGGTCATTTTTCCATAATCCAGCGATTCTCAGACATTACTGTGCATTAGCATCACCTGGAAGGAAAAATATATAGGTTGTGTGGTCTTCCCTAGAGATCTGATTTGGAAGCTCTGGGTTGTGGGTGGTGCAGGCATCTGTATTGTGCTGAAAACCCCAGGGGAGTTCTACCGTGTTTCCCTGAAAGTAAGACAGGGTCTTATATTTATTTTTCCTCAAGATGACACCCTAGGGCTTATTTTCAGGGGATGTGTTATTTTCCCCTCAAAGCCTCAGCTTGCAGCACACACAGGATGGCCAGGACCTGACAGGGGGAGCTGACCTTGTAGGTGGGGCTGCCCGCACCTTTCCGGTCACCTCTGGGATAGTAGCTGTCACAGTGGGGCAGGTGAGAAGGGCTGCTCATCTTCTTTACTGCTCCACCACGAAATGCTAGGATTGTGCAGATGCACTGGGTAGCCACGCCCATCACTAGGTCTTATTTTCGGGGTAGGGCTTATGTTGCACAAATGCTTAGAAATCCTGCTAGGGCTTATTTTAGGGGTAGGTCTTATGTTCGGGAAAACACGGTACATACGGCTGGTCTACAGACCATACCTTGGGAAACACTGCTTTAATCAAACACTGAACTTTCTTTTTTTTTTTCAAAAAAACAACAACAAC